GTTGTCGTGGGGAGTATGTACTTCCTTTGGGATATAGTTGGTCACATCCAAGGCTCTGTCATAGTGATTCGATTATTAGTCGACTGCTTCTATCCGTTGAGGAAATGTTCACTTACTTCTCGATCAGCAGGGCCGCAAGGCGGTCGAAGTAGAAAACAAAGTCGACCTGCTCTGTTGCAGGATCTTGCAGAATCGTGTTCATGCCGATGAATTGTGGCGTTTCGTGCATGACGACGACGTTGGGAGACAGTTTCTCCTCCGAGGCAAGGAGACCGAGACGAGTGAGTTCTGCACTGTGCTTCTCGGACTTCTCGTCCAGGTTGCCCTGAATGTGTTTGACGACCATGTCTGCGCCATTAGCTTGGAGACAGCGCACGGCATGGCTTAGGCTTACCGATAGCAGTTCTGTTCTCGATTCCACGAGGGATGATGAGATCTAAAAACCGGTCAGCTTGAGACAAAAGCAACTTGCGGATCTCTGAGCTCACCTGATACTGCCCGTTGAGGTTCCACATATTTCTTGTAGGAGGGCTTGACATAGGTGAACCACTGCTTGATGATTCCCTCAATGTCTCTTCCTCGCTCGCGGACATCACGCATGACTAGCGGCTGTTTAGCATTGCACAGCACAAGAACGTAGATGATGCAGCGACTCACTTCTGCGTCCCAGACAAATATCCATATCGGCTTCTACGAAGATCTGTCCAATGGTAAGCGTGTATGCGAGCTAAAGACTGACGAGAACTCACCTTGACATCCAACAGTTCCATGATGCGCGGGTCATGCAAAGCCAAGATACCCTCCAAGATGATCACGTGTGGGGAGTAAAGTGTCGTTGTTTGGGGCTCACGTTGGTGTTTGGCAAACGAATATACAGGAATGTCTGCCTTCTTTCTGAACGATTTAACATAAACGAGTCAGCTTCGTAGGGAGTGTGGTATATGTGGATGATAACACAGGATGGTCACTGTACCCTTGTTTCAAGTCCCGCAGGGTCTGCACCAAGACATCGAAATCTAACGACTCGGGACAATCGAAGTCATAGTCGTTGGCATGGGCCCTGGCATGCTCCTCTGGAGTTAAGCTTTTATAGAAGGAGTCCTGTACCACAGCACCGTCAGAAACCAATCATATTGCACACATCGAAAGCCCGATAGACCGATAGGCGAGCTATTCGGGGTACTGATAGATGAGATGTACCATTACGAGAATCACCACCCATGGCAGATTCAGTGACTTGACAATCTCCATTGCCACTGAAGTCTTGCCCGAGCCTGAGCTGCCCGCGATACCAATGATGCTCAAATCAGCCCATGGTGGCGAGTACTTCTTATCCTTGTCCGTGGCGGACGAAAACACCGGTGAGATGGACTGCATGATTTAGGTATTCCTCCCCGAGGAATTGACAGACCGAAATACGAATCAGATGAGCCCAGAGACACCGGTGATCATAACAGGGGGGAGGACGGTGAGGGGAGGGGGAAGAAGAAAAAAATAAGAGTCCCCGATTGATTGTCTCAGGATAAGGCTTTGGGGGAGGGACCCGATAAGAGAGGGATTTGGCAGGCGATACACGATAGACGGACTGCCAAAAGCACCAAAAGCATCCAGTGATCGCCGCTTGACTTCTTGAAGGTTAGCCTCGGTCCGTGACCTTCGCTTGCGGTTTTAGGCTTAGCTAGCTGCACGTGACCTAACAGCTCCCGCCGCATTTCCTTAATTTCGGTCCGCCTGATTTCTTCCTCCACTTCTCTCTCTTCTCTTCTTACTCACACTCCCTCCTAAAAGCCACCTCATGGCTCGCGCCTGCGAAGCTCTCCATCTTCACAGACCGCCGGTGGCTCAGTACCAAGGAAGTTGATCAGTTGATCTTCCTCCAACTGCAATTATGTCTTCAGCAAACTACGTATGCGCCCTGATGTGCCGTGCATGCGTCGTTGCTTGGTTTTAACGGGAAACAGATGTCTCCCTCTTCCCCAACAGCAACGCCGACATGGCATCAGTTTGAGCGGAAGGTTGATGAGGTGAAGCCGTCCAAAACGTGAGTTTACCTTGCCCACTCTCTTCTGCCCTTTTTGTTTCATTTTTCATGATGATCTTGAAAATCAAGTTGGGAATCTCTCTGAATCAATGTGAGGAGAAAATATTTGACTTGTGTTACTGAACCTTCGTCAACGCGCATCCTTGTTCATGATTTTCTAGTCATGATCGCTTGCTAACATGCTTCTGTTGAAAGTGACATCAATTATCTGGTTATGGACTACCTCATCACCAATGGCTACCCCGCTGCGGCGAAGAAATTCGCGCTCGAGGCCAATATCCAACCCAGAGCAGATATCGAAGCGATTCAAGAAAGAGTTGATATTCGTACTGCGATTCATTCGGGGAATATCCAAACCGCCATTGAGAAGATCAATGAGCTCAACCCTCAGGTAAGAAACATCCTCTTTTCGCAACCCCACCTTCCTTCGTATGATTAGATCAGTTTCATGCACCACTCGGAACAATCCTTCGGGATTTGGTCGATAAACACTCATCATCATCAAGAACTTTGTATGACTCGAAGTCACTTCAATCATGTGTACTACATTTCGGTTGTGGGAGCATCCTCGCTAACTTGCACCGCAATAGATCTTGGATGAAAATCCTCCCCTGCACTTTGCCCTGTTGCGTCTGCAGCTGGTCGAGCTTATCCGCTTGTGCACTTCCACCCCTGATGGAGACATCAGCCCAGCCCTAGAGTTTGCGACCTCGCAGCTCGCTCCCCGGGCGCCCACCAACCCTCAATTCCTGGAAGATCTCGAACGGACCCTCGCGCTCCTGATCTTCCCGTCGGATAATCTCTCTCCATCCCTTGCCCCTCTGCTCCAACCCGAGCTCCGTAAAGATATTGCCAACCGTGTGAACGAGGCCATCCTGCAAACCCAGGGTGACTGTAAAGAAGCGCGCCTGCGCAACCTGGTTAAGCTCCGCGCGTGGGCGGAAAACAAGGCCCGCGAGGCTAAGAAGGACATACCCGACAAGCTGAGTTTGGGGTTAGGGGACAGCAACTCCAGCTCGTCCAGCACCCACGACCACAGTAATCCCGGCACGAGCCAGAATGGCTCGTCCAACGACACTGTAATGACCAATAGTGGGGACGTTGACCCAATGATTTCGTGATCGCCCTGGCGGTGATGTCTTTGCACGTTTTTCTGTTGGCTGCAGCATGGAGTTTGGAGCGATGTCTGTTTTCGGTCTGGGTCTTTTACTTGAGCTTGAATTCAGTGGTTCATCATTCTCCTGGTCCTGAGTGGTAGCTTCCGTGGCCGATGGATTGGCATGCGGTTCTACTGCTTTACATCTGCATGCTTGTCACAATGTGATGGCTCTTTCGTCATGGTGCATCTGTCAATTGGAAGCCTATTAGCCTGCTGTAACTCGACATACAACGCAGCATCAGCATAAGATGCAATGCAACTATACAAGCAAAAGATGATACAACAGCTGTATAGCTGTCAACAGGCTGAACCCTACCACAAGCTAAACAATTCTCACCACATATTCAATCTTCAACCTAGAACCAGAAGCAACAGTAATATCACCAACTATCAAATTCAGTACCCAACGCCCATCATGCTAAACATTCAACTGGTAGAAACAAATCAATCCCATTCCCACAGGAAGGGCTCAAACCCGCAAACAACAACAGCAGCAGCAGCACCACCACCACCACCACCACCACTCAATGACATACAGCCCCCCAGCAAACAACCATATATACACATGCCCACCCCCCTACCACCACCACCACCGACCCCCTCTTAAACCCTCAACTAACCAACCCGAATTAAAACCAACTCTCACTCCCCCACCTTTTCCCCCCGAACAAAGAGAAATCAGTCCAAATCCTCTCAAGAAACCAATGTGACAGAAATAATTACCGCCTCTTTGACCCCCGCAACACAATGCCCCCGACCACGCCCGCCGCCAACGCCAAGCCGCCCACAATCGCAATCCCCAGCAGTCCCTCCTTGGACACCTTCTCCTCGATCAGCGACCCCAGACTGGCCGCCTGCAGGTTGGCGGGTTCTTTTTCCAGGAGGAGGTCGTTGTAGCGCCGCGCCTCGCCGTAGTTGCCCAGCTTGTAGTTGCCCAGGGCCAGGTAGTAGAGGCATTCGCGGCGGCGTTCGGGCGCGGCCCGGAAGATCTCGGAGAGGAGGCGCACGCCTTCTTGTTGGTCGGTGCGGGAGGGGGATTTGATGAGGCCCTATCCAGAGTATTCTTGCGGATTAGATCTGGAGGGGGAGGAGAAGGAGATGCTTGGGGGAGAGGTGGGGGGGGGGGATACAAAGTGGGTGTTGTGTGTGGGTTTGGTGGTTTGGGTCTGAGGTAGGGATGGCATGGCATGGCATGGCATGGTGATGGGGTTAACATACCCAGGCGAAGTTGAATTTGGTCTGGATGCCGACGTAGTCGCCTTCTTTCTCGTACTGGGCGCGCAGGACTTGGAGTTCGGCGGGTTTGAGCGGGCTGTCACATTGTCATCGAGACGGATTAGCTGAGGGTGTTCGGGTTGCGGGGGAGGGTGGTCTTGTTGATTATGGTCAGTGCTGAGGGTAGGACTGTACCTCTCTGCGTCCGCGGCATCTGCATGGAAAAGGCGGGTGGTTAGATATCATGGCTGCGGGAAGATGTGTTTTTTGTTTTGTTTTGTTGACCAAGGCAAAGCTTACATGGTAGGTTGGAGCCCATGGTTTCTGAATTTGGTTGGTTGTCTTTGCTGTGCTGCTCTTAGAGAACACCAAGTGTGAAAAGCAGAGCACAAGAACCGGTGGATGGGGAGGGAGGATGGGATCTTTTGGCGGAGGCAACTCAGTTCAACTAACTCGACTTACTCTCCATCTCCATCCCGTGACGCCAGGCCAGCCAGTGTCGTCAGGTTTTGTGGCGGTGCCGCTGACAAGTGGCTTGGCGGGACTTCCGATGGGAGCATGTGGCGCCGTTGCTCGAACAACAAACATCAACCTGCCTTATCAACATCAACTCACACCCCTCACATCACTATCAACGACACTACCACCAAGCCCAAGAATCACCCTCAATACCATATCCAAAATGCTGCTCGACGAAAACCCCGCCACTGTACGTCACCCACCCCTCAAACGGTCAACCCCCCCCCCACAAAACTAAACCCCATCCCCCAGCTCATCCACCACACAATCGGCAACTTCAACATCCAACCGGACAAACAAGCCGTCACGCGCATCAATGACTCGCTGGCCACGCTGCAGCAGTCGCGCGAGCTGCGCATGCGCGAGGCCGAGTCCGCCCTCCGCAAGCTCTCGCGCCACCTGTCGGCGCTGCACAACCAGCAAGAAGAGGCCGTGGCCGCGCACGACGCCGGCCAGCACGCCGCCGAGATGGTCGAGCTCGACACCAAGAAGTTCCGCATCGCCAAGAGCGCCACCGAGCTGGAGATCGAGAGCGAGCGGCTCGAGGGGGAGCTCGAGATGCTCCGCGAGCGGCTGGCGGATCTGGAGGCGCAGGGCGTCGAGGGGGATGAGCCCACGCGCCGGGAGCGCGAGATGGATGATGCGACGCTGTAAGTTGTCCCCGCCCCAGAACAACAAAAAGGAATTTCGTGGGCAGGTGGAATACGGGGCTGAGTGGGAGTTTTTGCTGATTGCGGGGTTTTCTTTCTAAAACAGTCTGCGATTGAAAATCTACCGATCCCTGGGTGTCGATATCGAAGCGGACGAGACGGGCAACTTCCACAAAGCGGTGATCCGGAATAGTCGCAAGGGCGACGTGCACGTCGTCAACATTGACCCGAAGTTCTCGCGGTTCTTCTACTCGAATTATTTCTGGTCGACCATGCAGGGGTAGAGGTGTTGTTACTCTTCGGGATGGCGTTTCGTTGGTTTAGATGGTGTAGTTGTTGGTTGGTGTTTGGTTCCCTCGGCGTCTCTTACTGTATCTTACATGCTTGATTATACCCCCCCTCCGCCGCTGCTGAATCGAATCTACCTTTCTCTTTTCTCTTCTGTATATCCTCCCATCACGTAGGATTCGGCATCGATTGTGACGAATCTGCCTCTGACTGCTGCTGCTGCTGCTGCTGCTGCTGCTGCTCCGCCACCGGCCCCTCACTCAACCCCATCATCTTCAACTCGCGCAGCAAACCCTCGCGATCCCGCAGCGACAGCAAACTCGGCACGCCCCCCTTAGCCCAGAGCAGCGGCTTCTCCTCCGGGAAGCGGCTCTGGATGACCGAGAGCGCCTCGTAGCGGGTCTCCTGGTCATCGGGCGCGAGATTCCAGAGCGCCCACCACTTCTCCTCCTGGTGCAGCATGCGGGCCTCGATCTGATCCATGCCCGGCAAGGCCAAGGCCTGCTGCCGCCCGTCACGGTCCCAGGTCAAGCGGATGGGCGGCGGGTAGGGCTTGGCGCGCAGCTCGGAGGGCAGGTTGTCGCGCAGCTCCTCCTCCCACAGCGCCAATCCACCCTCGGCGTCCAACTCGGCCAGCTCGGAGGCGAGCTGGCGCTCGGGGCCGTGGACGACCTCGACGCCCAGCGGCGCGACGCCCAGCGCGTCGACCGCCTCGTTCCACAGCGCCTGCCGCAGCGTCCCCCGCAGATCCACCATCAGATACACGAGCGGCAGGGCGCTGCGCTGCAGCGCCGCGCGCACTCCGGCCGACGCCTCGCGCCGGTTGACCAGCATCCCGACGCGCGGGCCCGCCTCCGTCGAACCCTCGAGCCGCCAGGTGTGCGGCATCCGCCGCGCGATCACCCCCTCCAGCTCGCGGATGCTCTGCGGCCCCACGCGCCGCCGGTGCGCCTTGCACTGCACCGCGACGTGGATCGGCACCTCGTGGCCTGGCAGGTGCCACGTGCCCAGGTGGTCGATGCCGTTGTCGCTGCGCCCGCCGGTGCGGTGCAGCAGCAGCGCCGCGGCGTGCCGCAGTTCGGTCTGCACGGTGTATTCGTACAGGTTGCCGATGAAGAGCGTCGAGGACCGCGAGAGGTCGTGCCGCCGCGCGAAGTCGATGAAGCTCGCCCGGTTGTAGTGCTTGTGTTTCGAGATCGGGGGCACCGGCAGCTGGTACACCCGCCGCGTGAAGAAGGAGAGGGAGGAGGTCATTGTGCGGGTGGTGCGGGGGGCGGTTGCATAGTTGGTTGTCTGATGTTGAATAACGGGAATGCGTATGAACGGGTCTTGATCGGTAGTGGTATCGTGGTGGTAGATAGGTTGGTTGGTTGCGTGGCAATTATCGGGGGAAAAAGTGGTTTGGGAGGAGATAGAGAGGGAGGGAGGGAGAGCGGAGCGGAGGAAAAGACCGACCATCTCTAATCTTATCGCGATTTGCATCTCCTTCTCTCCGCCTGAGCGTGCTTCCACCTTATCCCATCCATTACACCTACTTTACTCTTCCACCATCTCCCTCACTCCACCTCTCCCCTCCTCACATACTTAACTAACCCCTCTCTCACACAACCCCGCCTCCCATCAAAAAAGATAATTCAAAAATGGCCGACATCCTAACCCAACTCCAAACCTGCCTTGACCAAGTCCGTCCCCAGTCCCCCCATCCCATCCCCAACTCCCCCAAACCCAAACCCCAGCTAAAAACCCCCAAAGCTAGCAACCCAATTCTACGCCACCCTAGGCTACCTAACAGCCTACCACGACAACAGCGCGGCGACCGTGCCCCCGCAAACGCCGCACGCCGCGCCCGCGCTCGCCAAAATCCCCAAGACCTCCTCCGCGCCGCCGGTGCCCGCCAGCGCCCCCCTCGCCGCCCAGCAGCAGAGCAACCAAACCCAACAAACACCAGCTGAGAACCCAGCACCGGTCCAACCAGGCGCACCGGAGGACACCCCGACGCAAGACCCCACGCTCCCGCCGGCGCCCGACTCGCCGCGGACGTTCGCGGCGCGGCAGCGCGAGCTGGCGCGGGATCTGGTGATCAAGGAGCAGCAGATTGAGTATCTGATCAGTGTGCTGCCCGGGATCGGGTCGAGTGAGGCGGAGCAGGAGCGCCGCATCAAGGAGTTGGAGGGGGAGTTGAGGCGGTGGGAGGGGGTGCGCGGGGAGCGGATGCAGGAGCTCAAGGCGTTGAGGGGCCGCTTGGAGGGGGTGTTGGGGGCGATGGAGGTGGGGGTTTATGGGGAGCGTGCTTAGGTTCTTACTGGTAAGAACGACAGAGGGGGGGTGGGGGGAGGAGGATGGGAGTGGGGATCGGTGATTTAAACAAGTGAAAAGGGCTGGTTTATTAGCGGGTGCAGGCATTGGATTGCGAATGATGAAACTGATTATGCCTGATTAGGTACTGGTGGTAGCTGTCCTGGTATTGCAGATCTAGGTCCCATGTCAAAAGCAAAGAAGTTGACCGTGTCTTCTATATGTCTTGTCTCCTTCGTTGTGGTCGGATATTGTCGTCGTGCTGTGTAGCCTCGTCTCTCTTTCTGTGTCTGTCTGTGTATATGGTGCTGTAAATCCGTCCTCCGTGATGCGCAGCCAAAATGAATACCCCAGTAAAAAAAAAAAAAACGCCAGTAAATGAATCCCCCTTCCTTGAACCATCCAATCCATCCCACCGGGTATAGAACGAGAAAACAACAAAGAAAAGTCACTTGAATAAACTCCGGTATTCGCGCATCCGCTGCTCCTGCACCTCCCGCTTGTCCAACTTGCCCCGGTTCATGCTCAGATCCGCCAACTGCTGCTTCTTCTTGGCCAGCTCGAAGATCTTCTCCTCGATGCTGTCCACCATGAGGAACTGCACCGTCGTCACCGGCCGCGTCTGGCCGATGCGGTGCACGCGGTCGACGGCCTGCGCCACCGCCGCCGGGTTGTACTGCGGCTCCATGATGTAGACCTTTGACGCGGACGTCAGATTCAGCCCCACGCCGCCGGCCCCGATCGTCGCCAGCAGCACGGTGATCGCGTCGTTGTGCTGGAACTCCTCGAGCGCCTTGTTGCGCGCCGCCAGCGTCATCGTCCCGTCCAGGCGCGTGAACCCCGTCAGCCCGTTGTCGCGCAGCGCAATCTCGATCAGGTCCAGGTGCGACGTCCACGCCGAGAACACCACGCTCTTGTACGGCCGCTGCTCCCCCTGACTCTGGCTCTCCTCCGCCGTGGCGAGCAGCTGCGCGACCAGCGCGTTGGTCTTGGTGTGCGGTCCTTCGTACTCGCCCAGCTGCTTCACGTGCTTGCGGCTCTGTTTCGCCCGCGCCTGGTCCACCACGTAGTCCTGGAGCCCGCCCACAGTGATGACGGAGTACGAGGCCGGGATCCAGCCGTCGCAGACCTGGCACCGGAGGTTCGGGGAGTGGCTCATCTGCGCTTGCTCGAACGCCTGGGTCCACCCGGAGAAGCAGTCCGGGCAGAGCACGTCGAAGCAGGGAAGCACAATGGCCACGGCCGCTTGGCGGTCGACCGCCCCGTTGTCAGCGCTGGGTTCCTCGAGCCGCTTGCCGCACGTGGCACAGGTGTCGGCCGAGGACTCCTGCATGAGCGTGAACATCTCGTAGGACTTCTTGTCAGTCGCGCCGCTGCTGTCGCCGCCCGCTCCTTCTTCCAGGTCAATCGCATCCTGCACGCTCAGTCCCTTGATCCGCTTGCGGTCGTCCGGGTCCAAAAGCTCCTTGCCGTGGGCGCTAACTTGGCGCAGGATCATCATGGCCTTCAGGATGTGGTGGTACATTCGCCCTTTCATCTTCGATTTCTCTTCGCCGGCAATCACCCGCATCATCACGTTCGACTCCCGCCGGAAGAACTCGTGGAGCTGACGTTCCTTCTCGGTAAAGTTCAGCATGACGATCATATCCTGTCGCGGGGGCAGATCGATCTTGTCCTTGACTCGACGCAGCGTGAACGAATCCACAAGCACGCGCAAACTGGCTAGCACGGTCGCATCGCCGGTCTTGAAGCGACTCAGGATGTGCATGCCAAAGCGACCCCGGTCGTCGTACGGGTATAGCCCGAGGAACTTCGTCACGGAGAGCAGATCCTCCAGGCGGTTTTGTATGGGTGTGCCGGTCACAGACCAGCGACGCTGCGAATTCAGCCTGAGGATGGCCTGAGTCTGGGCTGCGCTCTGCTCGCGGATGGTATGGGCTTCGTCCAGAACAATACGGAACATGTTCATCTTGGTCAACGGACTCACCCCCCGTTTCGCTCCCCTCCCCGATAATTCGCTGAGGACGATGCTGTACGTCGTGATGACTAGATCATACTTGGACAGCTCTTCGACATCGTTGGTCCGAGACGAGCCATGGAAGACGTAGTATGAGACTGCGTCCTCTTCAAGATGCTCTTTGATCTGCGCCACCCAGTTGTTGACCGCGCTGAGGGGCGCCACCAGCAGCGTAGTCTTAGTGTTGCGGATGCCAGGGAGGCTTTTGACCAACGCGGGGTCTGGAACTTGCTTCGCCCATTCGCTAGACTCTTCCAATGAAGTCACAACCAGCGAGAGAATACTCAACGTCTTGCCAAGACCCATCATATCTGCCAACAGTCCACCCAGACTTTGCGGGGGCTCCTCGTCGAGCACCGTGCCACTGATGATCTCGCGGTATTTCCTCCTGCCGCCAGACCGGTAATCCCTTCGCCACAGCGAATTGTTGTCTGCTTCGTTGGGACCGAATCTGCGCGGCTTTTCCTTTTCAGTCATGAACCAGAGTGCCTGCTTCTGATGGCGAAGCAAAGGCGTGCGCAGCCCAGATGGAGGCTCCATTTCAGGCAAGTTGTCGTTGCTCTGGAGCTGGTCGAACATTTTCATCACCGCGTCGTTGACTTCTTCAGCGGTTCGCACCTCATAGTTGACCCCTACGCGACCCCTGGCGGCCACGGACGGCAAAAACGCAGCCTGAGCCTTCCGCATCTCAGCGTGTGGATTGAGTGTCGGCACACCCTGTTCCACCGCAACTGGGGACGTAAGCCACACATTATGCTGACCGAGGTGCTTGCCGACCAGCGTAGCATCTTTCCTGAGGCCGTATAGATTGATAGACGCCCGGTAAGTCTCGGAACAGGGTACCCATGGCCATTCACCTTCCTTCCTGCGTCGAAAATCCAGCCGCGCAGTCAGGTCCACCTTCACGGCCGGCGAATCCAGTAACGGGGCAATAACGGCTGCTGTTCTGGCATCGATCACGCCGAAGATCTTCCCATTTGGATCAGAAACTTCAATACGGTTGTTCTCGCGCGTTTGTCGATGCACCCCGAGTTTCATTGACGGCCAGTCGTGCGTTGAGTCTCCGAAAAGAGAATGGGTCGAAGGCTTCGGGACCAACTGCGCTTGCACCGTCGCCCCCTCAATCTTTCCGTAGCATACCCTCTGTAGACTGAGATCATTAGACCCAGTGACCTGTATCTCATCGTCGTCGGTGGCTGCAGCTGAGACATCTACCGCAAAGAGTTAGCCGGATCCACAGGGCTCCAACTTGAGTTTCAGACCGCATACCTGTAGTCAAGTCCACGACATTCGCGGTGGACGAGGACGAGTCCGCCTGATCCCGCCCTTCCTTCATCCATCCACCCAGTTCTGAGTTTCCAGTCCCGGAGAAGTTTGTATTTTGTCCCGCCTTCATTTCTTGATCCCTCTCTACCTTCACCCTCTTGATCGGCTGGCTCGCACGTCTCTCCACCCCGTACATATTCTCGATGAGACTCCCGTGACGCGCATCGGGGCCGTCATCGTCGAGGTGCTCAGAGCTGCGTTTGATGCTCGTGCGATCGTCGCCTTCGAAGTCCGAGCTCGCACTCGCAAACTCCACATCGATCGTAGGCGCAGCCTGATTTCCCTGCGACGGAGCGCTCACCGCATCCCCCGCCAGCGAAGGGATTCGCGTCCCGGATCGTGATGTCATATTCGAGTTCGGGAGGGAGTTCATTCTCGAGGCGCCGCCTCTCTGCTGGCGCCGGCGCGGGCTGTTGAGGAGCAGATGTGCGGCCGAGGCGGTACCCGCCGGCGCCACGGAAGAGGCAGGACTGCGCTGCGCGGCGGGTGTGGAGGAAGAGTCTGGTTGGTTCGTCGAGGATCCTGGGAACGATGAGTCTTCCGTGTCTGGTCCAAGGGTGTTACTGTTAGGGGATGGGGAGGAGGGGCAATGCAACGTCGACAAGGTGAGCGAAGACAGAGATCCTTCGTCATGCGGGGAATCAGCGACGCCGGGGGAGGAGGAGGAGGAGGAGGGGCCGTGGTGAGAGGAGGAGGATGATGATGATGCGGGCTCGACCTCGGGCTCCGGGGAGGCTTTACCATTCTTTTTCTGTAGTTGTTTCTTGTGCGCCCGTGGGTTCAACAACATGGCGGCGTCGGAGGAAGCCATGATTGTCAGATGGAAACTCCTTCAGCTGCAGGCGGCGAGAGCGAGACGCGCGCGGGCGGGAGGAAGGTCCTGGGGAGACGGATTCAAGATCGCAAACAGGGAAACGGTCGGAGAGGAAGTAGTGAAGGCATAAATCGTCCAGGACAGATCAGTGATGGGGATAGGCAACAGTTCTCGAGTAAGGATGGTTTGTCGCTAGTAGTAAGGCTGAGCATACACTCCGGAGGGTGGGAGTCCGTCCGGTGGCGGCGAAACGAGGGACAAGTGAGGCAGGGTCACAGCGTCAATCTATTACTGTCGCATTAAGCTGCTTAGACCCGAAGCCCACAGGTAGAAGAGAAGAGGAGTAAGACAAGCGTGGTAGAGATGTGAGAGGTGGAGATTTGGAGGGTTGGACGCTTGATGGTGACGACGGGGAGACGATGCCAAGAAGTTAGCGATAGATAAGATTGCGGGCGAGTCACGAGTCATGTACAGTACTGTTCTGTCTACTATGGCTTATAGCTTGTGATGGCCGGTGTTCACAGAAACATGATCCGACGAGAAAGATTCCTTTACACGCGCAGCCTTTGATCTGCTGTTCGCCTTCTTCTCTGATCCAGTCTCTCCGTCTTGGACTTCCAACCCCTCATCCTCCGTTTGCCATTCGTTCATTATCCGACTCCAGATCCTCCTCAAGTCTTTCTTTCATTGTGAATACGCCCACTCCTCGATCATGAAAGCAAGGCGAAAAGCATTAATTCTATTCTTGGTTCATTTTGTCTTGCAACTATTTATAACTATATGTACTCAAAGCAAAAATTATATACCGGGTGTAAGTCTGGATAAAGATTAGGTCTCCCACAGTATCCCACGTGAAGATCAACTTCCATTGTCTATGACACTAACCCATCAGATGAAGTTTTCCAACAAAAGCCATACCTTGCAAATCGAAAAGGAACTCCTCATGCCAGATTATCATAATACACGCTAAATGGGGAGACGAAGAAGAGAAAAAGCGTTGAGGAGAGGGCGTGTAAGAATCCGTGTTTAGCACCAGGTAAACACGGGATTCTTACTTTTGACGGCCTCGAGCCGCTCGACAATCACTTTACGTTGGTTGCCTTCCATCCCCTCCGCAGCTGCATATCCGAGATCCCCTTCGAGATCGTCGCTGCTCCAGAGCAGGTGCGCTTGGCCGCGACTACTGGAGACGGAGCTGTGTTTCTGGTGTCGGTGGCTTGGCCGAGGAGGGAGCGTGGCCCAACTGCGTTCCAAGTCCCTACCATGACTCAGCTCGTCAATACTGTCGCGGCCATACCTGTCGTCCATAGTGACTGGGCTACCCGAAAGTGCCCGGCCACGGCCGGACGCGGAACCGCGGCCTCTGGACAGTTCAAACCGGTTGGGGTTTGGCAATTCGTTCGGAGGGGAACCGAGTCCGAGTAGATCGACCTCGGGGCCTGTCCCCAAGGACATCGAGGCACCAATATCCATTTCCTCGTTATCGGGATCATACGTGCTATGTTTGTCGTAATTTTCGTAGCTCTTCACTTTGCGTCTCTGAGCCTCCGTGGAGGGGCCGCGGAGGGGGATAGCAACCGGCACATCCACAAGATCATCCCAGACACAGACGCGCGTTCTTCTCGTCAATTCAAGTGGGCCATGGTCGGGATGCTTCAGTGTCTCCACCACATTCCACGCCTGGCCTTTCATGACTGCAATCTGTCTCGCAAACATGCTCTCCTTGAAATCATCATCCTGCGAGAACACACGGCGCAAAGCCATCTGTGTGCCGCTCCACCAGGCAGTAGAGGTTAGAAGCGGTAGGAAATGGTCGCGAGTCTTCTGCGAAAAGGGTTGACCGATCAAAGATACGGGCAGAAACAACCAGCCGAATGGAAAACTCCGCCACTGAGAGATATTAGCACGAGCCATGCAGATTTTAGTTTTTCGTCATTCAACTTACCGCATCGGGATGTTTCCATGGCCACGAAAGACTGTTATCGATGGCACCAATTTGGATGGTTGCATAAGGTTCGGTTGCGTTCAAGGGAGTCCCTGTGCGACTCACGGCAAGCATGGACTCGTGTCTCCGGTAGGGGTGAGGCGCAGTTGTCGCTCCGTCAGAACTGACTGCTACCGGGCGCGCAGGGGGCAGGTCATCGTCGTCATTTTCTTGCCGCTGCTGCTGCGCGCCGTTGGGTTTCGGCGGATCAGCGACAATGGAGACTTCCTCGGTCTTCCAATCGATCTTGATCATCCAATTGTCTAGCCCTCGGTCCGTGTTGCGCATGATGTAGTCCAGAATCACGAGCTTCTCCAGCTCTTCCCTAAACGACTGCTTCAGGCTTTCCGTCCAGTAGAAACGCCGCTCTCTGCTTTCCTCACGCGGTGATGGAGTCTGCGTCTGACCGTCGTGGTACGCTTCTTCGTCTTCATCGTCCGAGTGTATTCCAGAAGGGCGGCATGCTTCATTCCACGGACGCTTCTTTCGCTTGGGAGCATCTTCTGCTCTAAATCCAGTATTGGCTTGATCGGGCCAAGGATGGTCGCGCAGAAAGAGATTGGCATCCTTGTAGCCTTTGAGGAAGACCTGGAAACTACCGGCCTTGGGCGGAAGGGACTTCTTGCCCATCCAAGCTTTTCTGCGATCCCAAAAGTCGTAGAAGAAGGACTTCGAGGACAGCCAGACAATATCGGTATAGGGAACGAGATTGGTTTGCAGTCGAGAGTCGAGAACATATGCTGCCGCTTCGGAGACATAGGACAGGTTGGGAATGAGACAAGCTCGGCCGAAGAAGCATGGGAACAGGTTGCGGTGAATCCATTTGGTCCACTTCGGGTTGCGAGATGCATACGGTTCTTCATCCTTGGGCTTGAAGACTCCCACCACCTTACCTTCGCTGTTCCGCGCGAAATAACTACCCGAACTGCCCTGGGAGATCATTCGGGGATGGACCCCCATCTCGATGGCGATCCGGACACTCTCCACCACCTCTTCGAACTCTTCTCGAGCTCTCCGCGCAGCACCTTCGACCTCGTCTGACTCGAGAACCTCCGCGGTGACAGGTCGGACCCCATCGGGCGCCTGGAAGACTGAGTGATAGATCTCTAGCTTCTCCTCCTCGAGTGTCTTTCCCTTGACTCGATTGATCTTGAATTTCGAAGCGAATTCTTCGGCCCACCGTTCGAGGCGCGCATTGATGGCTTTGATGTCCACCCCGGAGTTCCTCCGTCCCCGTCGGTGATACTGTCCACTCAGCCTCCGTCGCGGTTCGGGGGGCGAGGCCAGGCCGGTTCGTGCGGAGATCGGTGCATATCGTGGTGCGGATTGGGAGATGGTATGGGAGTCGTGTTGTAGGTCGTCATCGTCTGAGTAATCATATGGATCGTGGGCTCGGTCTTCTTCTTCCTGCGCCAAGCGGGCATACCCCGAAGTTGCGGGTCGATTCTTGGGCATGGTGGCAGAGCGACTGGATTAGGACTGCAAGGGCCGGGAGGCAACCAACATTCAGTTCATATGAAAGGGAGCGCGAAGGGAAGGGACGGAATTGAGGAATGGGGCATAAAATGAACGAAGAGAAAGGGAAGAATTAATACGATGAGTTTAGCAGGAAGAAGACTCAAGGCATCACAGGCGACCGGCAGCAACAGAAACGCAAATGAAACTCGGCGGGTGGAAATGGGTGGAGGGTAGAAGGTGGAGGTTAAGTTAGTCGAGTAAAGTAGGTGGAGGAGAGCGGGCGAGGGACTGCACTGCACTGCACCCTTCACGCTGTCATCTTCTGCTCTGCTGTTCCGATGGATACGGCTGTGGCTGGCCTTGCCTGTTTTATCTGGCAGAACTGTATCAATACCATCTCCGGTGCTTCAGCGCTGTCTTTTAATTGGATGTTGAACCGCTCAGGGTCCTGTGCCGCCACATGTCTGACGATACGATACGACACCGCCACGGCAGCTCCTCCGAAAGCGCGGGCTCCACCCAAGCTTTATGAACATCGACAGAACCCCTGAATGATGAGCAGAAGAGACGAGGGCCTAGAAGTCCCGGGCAATCATGAAACTTCAATTGCTGCGAGCCAAATAGTGAAGCAGAGACTCTCAATTACTGCTGTATAAGTAAAGTCGGGACAGAACCAGTCTTAGACTTACTCTTACTCAGCAGAACTAGTTAACATATATAATAAGTTACTCTATACAAATACGTATGAGTACTCGAGTCCGTAATAGCCACAGCTCTATTGATCCATTGATCAATGGCTGTCTCGGCGAGCAAACGGTTGGTCATCGTGGCCGATGAGTTGTTCGACCCCGTGCGGGAAACCGGTTTCACTCAAGCCCCAATTCCAAGAAGCGATCGATCTTAGGGTACTCGGTACATAACCCCTAAGAGCTTCCTTTCCGAGTCAAGGACCAGATGGAACCAAATGGGTATCAAAGGGGCATGCAGGGGCACGGCAACAACATTGCCAGGACTCATTCCGGGTCTAGTACCGAGTAACTTGGTTAATCGATAATCGTGTGTACTGTACTCCGTAGATAAGGAAGACATGCGGAAAACAATGTCAGATGAGAACAAATCAATTGTTCGACAGGTAGTGAGTGTACTGTGTACTGTACTTCTCTCATTTAGTACGGGACAAGTATACTTAAATATATAGTTAACTTCACCTCGATGACGGCATCACCTACCAGCCAAAACAAGAGAAGAAAAAACAACGAGCAGGCATAAGAAACTGGTCCGCAATAACTCATAACTCATGGGTCCAGCCCCAGCCGCCGCTGTAAAAGGGCATGGAACAATCGATAAGTTCCCTATCCCTAATAGTAGCCTCTCCGGCCCAGTCTGCGCGCGATAAGTTAATCAATCAATCTCGTTCCACCCCCGACCACCCCGTCACGCTTCCTCCAATCTCACCTTCACCACTACTCCTCCTCCCCCATTCGTCTTCGCGTTCCCCCCGGATGACCACTTTGCAAGCCTCTCAGGCAACCCAATTGATGGTCTCTGAACGTCTTGTTCTCTGCTCCGTCATTCATTTCACTTGTTCTTCGGGTCGAGTCTCATCGTCTAGTCTCTCGGACAGCCTCGCTGAGATCTTTCGCTCCTTATCCGTTCTATCTGCCTTGTCCTTTGCAAGCCCAACTGGGTTGCGATAAAACCCAGAACACGCGGGAAGAATAGATTCTCACATCGTTCCTTGAACGCTTGCATTTGGCTCGTGGGAAACCGCAGGAAGACATTCCAGTTCGATCCTCCCTTTTTTTCCGTGGCTGGTCCTCTTCCCGAGCAGCGCGAACCTTCCCTCCTCCATACAACAACCCTTGGAGTCCTCGACGCGAAACGGCTATATTGATTCTCAATTCGGTCAATCGAGGCCGGATTTATAGCCAATCCTCCACGACATCCTCCACGGTGGCTTCACTCCTGTTCCGGGCGTCGCCCATCGACCCAGCCCTCCGACCTCCGTCGCCGTCCAACCCCCAGTCCCACGAACCCGCTTACAATCCAGGCTCGTCCTCCGGGGAGAGTCAGTTGGATTCGCGTCAATCCACAACAGATACTGTGACTGGAGCCTCGTCCGCATCCTCGCAGTACTCGGGTGCCATTCCGGAACTCAGCTCGCTGGACAAATTCACCCACAGTCCCGGCAGTAGCAGCAGTAACGGTAGCGCGTTCCCAAGCTCGCTCGGTCCCTCTTTGCCTGGGCTGTCGGCTCTGGCATCGGTCGCATCGGCGCCCACTTCCAATCTGCGGTATGTATTCTTGCAGCCTTTCCTCGCCAGGTGGAGTTCATGAAGATATCGGGTTGTGGGACAAGTCCGTGGCGGCTGTTTGATAACTACGGGTGGAAGCCATGGACTTGATCGCGTGGTAAGCACGGTCTTTACTGACGAATCTTACGTGTTTAGAGCGTCGAGTAGCAATGCCAATCACGGAATGGCCAATATGACCTACGCGACATCATCCCCAGCGGCCACCACTGGTGGACAAGGCAACAACCCTGTAAGTAATAAGATGGAAAGACGGAGTCTGGGGGCTTATCGCGACGAGGGGGAGGAAAGTCCTTATCTACGCACTACTACTCGAGTGGTGCTGAGGAATTTTTTCCCCTTTTGACCTTTTGAGCCGGAATCCCCTCGTTTCTTTTTCGCACCCAATCTTTGGTGTTATCAGCAGCCGCTGGGGTCTTGGCGCCGCACCACCAATGCCTTATCGCTCCAACCCATCAAATCTCTCCCGATCTTATCAACCCAGCGCTCTTCCTCACTCCATCCACTATCAGCGCCGTCTCCTCATCTTCCCCATCCTCTGCCTTCCTCTACCGCCCCGTTTGCTGCTGAAAAGACCATGGCGACCACATTGGCTGATCAAAAACGTCCTCAATTACAGCCCGTGTGCCAGAATTGCGGCACCTCCACCACCCCCCTCTGGCGCCGTGACGAACTCGGCTCCGTGCTCTGCAACGCCTGTGGTCTATTCTTGAAACTACATGGGAGGCCTCGTCCGATAAGCCTCAAGACCGATGTGATCAAAAGTCGCAACCGCGTCAAGACCGCCGGTCAGGGTACCAAGCGCAAGGTGAGTCCTCGACTCGAAAATTTTTCTTATCCGTGACGTCTCTTCCCAGGACCCGGTTGCTAACCCTTGATGTCTTATCTTCCTCCACAGTCGGGCGGTACTATCGATACCAATGGCCTCTCTGCCTCCCGATCTGAAGCAGGGACTCCGCCTCTGGGATCGCATGGCAATCGTCGCGCGTCGCGCAAGACGTCTCCTGGCCACTCCGACCGTTCCAACTCGCCGGTGCCGCGCACGGAAACGCCTGGTCTCCCTCAGGTGCAACAACAACACCCCCAATCGCTGCACAACTCCAATATCGCACCGCAACACATGTTTGACAGTGTGACCATTGGGGATCATGGCATGAATCCGCCAAATTCAATGCCTTCAGTGCAGCTGCGCCAGCCTTCCCCGACCTCGACCTCCGCGGCGGGCGACCGTCACCCCGAGTCTCCCCAGACTTATGAAGGTCTCTTGGCGGCGAATACATCCTTGAAGACGCGCGTGAGCGAATTGGAGTTCATCAACGAACTCTTCCGCGGTCGCGTCGCGGAGCTCGAACGAAGTGATGCGACGGCTCGCCGGTCCGAAATGATCGTTCGCGACTCGGAAGTCCGGCTGCGACGGTCTCTGGAGGAGGCCCAGCGACGCGAGGACGATCTCAAACAGCGGGTTGCCGACCTTGAGCGGCAGCTCGCTGACAAAAGTAATCCCAACAACAGCACGAACAGCGACAGTCCGGGTGAACCGCTAGCCAAGAGAATGCGACTGTCAGACGTGGTCGAACAACCAGCCGAGTCTCCGACCAAATCGCCCAAGAGCGTCTAACCCAGGAATGAAGGCTCAGTATGTTGGACGGAAGCGTCCGCGTTGTCGATCCCAACGCGTATTCGCGCGTTGCTGAGATCTCTGATCTGATCTTCCTTGGTCTTTTTGATACCCTTTACGAGTCTTGTCATTGGCTGGTTGTATATCGGATTAACTAATTGTACCCTTCTCCTTGGATCGAATCTTTATATTTATTCTCTTTCTACCACACTCCACACACAGTCTCTCTCTTTCTGCTTTTATTCTTAATTCCGATATGGGACGGGGAAAGATCGGTTGGTCGGCAATCATCAGCACATCGCACGCGGTATGGAATTTGCCAGGCAAACCACAAAACCGGACAAGCAAGAGAAACGTTTGCCACGATACAAAAAAAGGAGAATGGATTGACCCTGTAAATTGACCCGGGGAATCTTTCTCGATGTTCAGTACTTCGATGTTTATCTTATATTCCCTGCAATCACAATGTGCTTTTCCCATTCGACCTTATGACATGTTAATCATACGACTGTTTACTATTGATGAGACAATCTAGTTCGAGTGTCTCCGCGTATACAGTCCTTCCTCGACGCTAGTAATCAAGACACGTCTTTGCGGCCGGACGTACACTCTGTTTGCTCACTGGACAGGTACCAGCAGCTCCGGTCATTCCTACCTCCGGTTCAATGGTCACGCATCTTATCCTGTACGAGCCTGATCATCTACGTCCCTTGCACGTTCTGAGAGGCATATGGCTCGTATCCCTACCAATCAGTAAAGACCCGTTTTCGTCATACCTTCTACCGTCCAGCGGTATACAGGCTGATATCATGCAGTCTTGGCCTCGATGTTCTCATCTAACCAGGACAGGATCATATGAATGCGACGATCAAGCACCAGGATTGTGCTTCGGCTGCAGAGGTCTTCCGTGGGATCTGTGTGCCAATGAAATGCACCGATGGTGTCTTTTCTTGAATATGATATAACGGTCATATCTGTCCCCCTTACCCCAATGCTTGTCTTTGTCTCTTCTTTCTACCGATTCAAAAGCTCCAAACAGGACAGCGACCTGAACAACATGGAACTCAGCATGATAGGAACAATCCTGCTCGACCTCTCCCTCGTCGGACTCGTCTACGCCGCCGCGCTCATCTTCTACCGGCTCTATCTCAGCCCATGGGCACGCTTCCCTGGCCCGCGTCTCGCAGCAGCCACCGGGCTCTACGAAGTGTACTATCAACTCATCAAGGGCGGCATCTTCACCTGGCAGATCAACCGCCTGCACGACCAATACGGGCCGATCATCCGCATCAAGCCGGACGAGCTGCACATCCGGGACCCGGACTACTACGCGACGCTGTACT